ATGTCACGATGTACAATCGGTGGCAAGCAATCGTGGTGCATGTAAGACAAGGCATGAGCTAAGCCTTTAACAATATTCACCCTTTTACTCCACCCCAAATCTTTAGCTTCTTCATCTTTGCTCAACATTTCTGCTAAGCTGCCTCTTTCAAGATATTCATACACCAAAAACAAGTGTCGTTTATGTGCACAGAAACCATAGAGCTTCAGAATATTCCGATGTCTTATCTCACTAAGTGCCCTTACTTCATTGAAGAACTCTGTTTGAAATTCTATCCCGCCATCCCATAGCAGATGGAGTTTCTTCACGGCCACTACGTCTCCAGATGACAAATTTACTCTGTAGACGCTTCCATGTCCTCCCTTCCCAATGCAATATGTGGAATCAAAATCTTCTGTTGCCCTTATGATTTCATCATACATTGATTTTCCATCAAAATTTAAAACCGAAAAGGAAATTTCTCCATGCATGTGGTTTTGTTTAGTATCTTGATGCTTCTTCTTTATTTGCACTATTGCAAAGACAATTGTAAAGAGAGCAAATAGAAGTACCAATACTGCTAGAACAGAGAATATGACCTTGTGGTCCTTTTTTGAGCCATGTGCATTGCAGGGTGGTAGCATAGCTCCAACTTTGCCACACAATCCTTTGTTCCCTTTCAATCTTTCTGATGGAGCTTCTCGAAATGCATTGATGTTGGGAAGGGGACCTTTCAAGTGATTGTAGGATATGTCAACGTACGACAAGCCGTGCATCTTTTCGAAACTTGATGGTATGGAACCCAAAAGATTGTTGTGGGAAAGATTGAGCGTCACCAAACTCTCCATATTGCTCATTACTGATGGTATGCTACCTTCAAGAGAGTTATGACTTAAATCCAGTTCGTTTAATTGAACTAACTCCCCCAACTGAAGTGGAATTGCTTGAGATAACTTGTTGTTGCTCAAATTCAGATGGTATAATTTGAGCAAGTCACCTAGAATGCTGGGAATTGAGTCACTGAATTTATTTGTTGACAAGTCAAGATAATCAAGATTAGTCAATGATCCGAATTCAGAAGGTATACGACCCGAAAGTTGATTTCCATTCAACATTAACCTCTCCAAAGAAGTCAGTCTCCCGAATCCCATTGGAATCAACCCAACTAAATGATTCGAAGAGAGATCTAGCTCATGTAATAGGGTTGCATTGCCTATCTCAGGTGGGATGCTCCCAGTAAGGTTGTTTCCCGCAAGTCGTAGGGCTGTCAACTTTGGGCATTTTTGCCAATTGTGTGAGATTTCTCCATACAAGTTGTTATGGCTTACATCTATAAAATCAAGATTCGGATAAATGCCAAAGTCTTCAGATATATTTCCTGTCAATTGGTTCTGGTCAAGACGGACTCTGAATAAGCTTGTGCAGTTTTTCAAGCTTTTGGGGATTGGACCAGTTAAATAGTTTCTGAATACCGAAAAGTTTGTGAGTTTTCCACCTTGGCAAATATTTGGGGGCAAATAACCAGAGAATTGGTTTGTATCCAAGTACAGTTTAGTCAAATTCTTGAGATTTTCTAACTCTTGGGGAATGGAGCCGGAAAGTTGGTTATCCCGTAGATGTAAGATCTCCAAGTTGCTCAAGTTAGCAAATGAGGCTGGAATTGAATCGTGAAGTTGATTACTGTTTAATCCTAACTTCACAAGAGATTTCAAGTTCCCTATCTCCTTGGGAATCAAACCAGAAAGATGATTGTTATTCAAGTACAAAGTGTTTAGCTTTATTAAGTTACCAATATTTGGAGGAATGAGACCACTTAAATTGTTGTAGGACAACGCTAGATACACTAGAGATTTTAGGTTGCCTATCTCATTTGGAATATTCCCAAAAAATGTATTGTCAGAGAGACTAAGAAACCTAAGATTTCTTAGGAAACCGATTTCTGGTGGGATTTTCCCAGAGAACTGATTCTGGGAGAGATCGAGATGGTGGAGTTTGGAAAGGTAGCTGATTTGAGGTGGGATGACATCAAAGAGTTTGTTCAAGCTGAGGTTAAGATATTCAAGATTAGGGAAGGACAAGAATGAAAACTCATGTAGCGTACCTTGAATACCACAAGTGGAAAGGGTTAGCTTGCTAACACTTCCAGCTGCGTTGCATGAAACACCAGTCCAAGTGCATGGGCTTGTTCCTGGTTTTGGATTGGTGGTGGAAGAATTGGTGGCGTTAATATTATGAGTGGGAGGGTCGTACCAGGTGAGGTTATTGAGGGCTTGATTTAGAAATAAGCTGGCTTTCCATTTGAGAAGAGCCTTTGCTTCAGTATGAGAAGTAGAAGTAGCATAAGGAAAAGCAACCCAATTTGGTGATGAAACATACAACAAGATGACAAGGCAATAAGGCAGGAAGCATAGTTTAGCGGAAGTTAAAGATGCCATGGTTAGGGGGGGGAGGGGCGGACGCACCAAGGGATTGGAATGTCGGCGTTTGGCTGTGGAAGTCTTAGGCGAGCAGTTGTAGACCCCTTGGCCAGTAGCTTGTTAACCTCTTGGGTGCACTGAACGTGCTCGACGAAAGTCCCCAAAGAGAGAGAGAGAGGTGAGTTGATGGGTTACAGCGACGGTAATGGGTGGGTGAGTTTTAATTTTGGACAATCATAGAGAAAAGGAAAGGCAAGTCAGAGCATATAAAAGGGAATTTGTGCTGCAAATTGTTGAGATTGGTAAAATTCCCATGTGGGACCCATGTAGTAAATGGGGTAGCAAGTTCTGGTTTTGGTTTGGCTTTTGGAGGAAGTCATATTGCATTAAATGAGTGGTTGAAATTGAAGACATTTAGGTCTTCACTTGGGGCTGCCGACATTGGTGTAGAGTATGAGAAAAGTCTTGCTTTTCACATTATCCCAACGAATTGAAGTCTTGCTTTTCACATTGAGCAAATGATCTTCTCATGTATCTAGCTTGATAAGTTAGACAGATTCAGAACCGTAGTTTCCTTCATGGATGCTGCCGTTTTCTTTACTTAGTTTTGATTTTGGCAAAGCAGAGGCTTGTCGTGGAGCTTTGCTTGATTGCTGCTTCAAATGAAGGTAAGTGTAAATACACATTCCAGCAATTTCTGTGAAAGCCCCAGGAATACTTGTCTTGCCTGGATTCGAACTAAAGAGGTAGTAGTTCTTCCTAGAAGAATGACGCATGTTTTGAATTGACCAAGAACAACATGTGTAACAGCAGATGCAGCCCTGTCAATTCACAGAAAGATGAAGAAAAAAAAAAAATTCAAGGATATCAGAACCACAAGAACCAACCAAAATCAAATTTTGCATGCCATACTTTTAACAAAGTAATATAAAAGTTGTGACGAACAAACATATAGTAGTCCCCAAGATACATTACAACCATTCAGCCATCATCCAGTCACACAAGAGACACAAGACTGTTTTAAATGGTTATCATTAGAATTGAAACTTCATGTCATTTAACATAATGGTCACATGCCAAGTGTGTTACGGGTCAAGCTTGGTGCGATACCAAAGTAGTGTGAATTGTGCAAGCATGTGCTCAGTCTTGTACATGCAGGTAATCCTAGTTATTGTGGCAGCATACTGGTATGTGTTATTTAAGTTTAACCCTAAACCTTATTGGTAGGTGTTGTTTAACCCTCCCGCCCACTGCCTGTGATGTGTTTAACCTCCCATTGTTGCGCATATCAGCTATTGCACTCTTTAATAATGTTGTTGATTGTTGCTAGGTTTTCAAGTGCAATGTAAAGTAATGCAAGAGAATCTGATAAGTGTCTCAGCTTACTGCTCTAGGTAGGACTCTTTGTAATCCTACATCACTATACTGTTATAAATGAGAATCATACACACCCATAGATTATACTTCAGTGTGCTTTTCATGATAGACTTCAAATTTGAACCACTGCCGCGCTGTAGCATTGGAAGCAGTATTCTATAATCAAAATTTAAATTATGTTGGGTACTTGCGAAAATGGTAGAGTGAATAAATTGACAGGATATTCTTATAGGGGAGATTCATCTCAAAATGATAATTTATATATGCTTGTTATCAATTTGAAAGGTGACCAAATCTTGTTTCCTTATCAGAATTTTCAAGTAAAAATCTCAAGTTTCTCCCTCTTCAACAAAAAGCTAAATAAAAGCACAAGCAAGAGACAATGAGAAATACAGATACAGAAAGGTAGACAGATTGATGAGGTCATCAAAGACGAACCTGTTACCGAGCCATATAATAATACATGGAAAGTTGATACGCAAATCAGGTAAGATACATCTCAATGAATCTCAGCCATCCATATCTAACATAACGGCAGCAAAAAGATCCTTATTTAAGGATCTTATTAGAGAAATTTTATATCTACATGTATTACTTCATTTCTGACAGTGTACCATGTTGACTAGTTTGTTTATGCTACGGACCTATGTAAACCATAAGACAACGACATCGGAGGTCAAAACTCTTGTATAGGAAACAATGGAACAAAACAGTAACATAGGATAATCAAAAGGAACAGACAGATATCACATACCCAAGTGCTAGAGCACCTGACCACTGAAGCAAGAAGCCAAGAATAGCTGACATGAGAATTGCCAAGGTGTTATTAAAGTTCCAATTGAAGGAGAGGGCACCAGGTGGATCTAACCAGGGTATTAGTGCAACAAGGAAAAATAAGGTGATTGGCGTTGTCTTCCACATTAACCTGTTCAACGGTTCGCATTTTAGTTTAGATGTAAATATAAATTCTTCCAACTAGAGCTCAATATCAAGGAGATTCAAATACAAACTGAAGAGTCGAGCATCAATTACGCCAAGGCTGTCCAATTTGTTATATCAAATATAGTTTTCCTTTTCCGTAAAGACTTTTAATTTTTTTTTAAATTACAAAACTGCCATCAAAATTAAATTCAATAGGGCCAACTGTCATTTTGTGGGTTTTTTTTTGGGTTTGTTTATAGAAATTAAATGGTGTAGGGTTTATTTATAGTTTTACTGCTAATAAGGGTATTTGACTAAATATCTCAAAAGGAAATTCTATCAGTGGGGAATGCCACGTTTTACAATTTAATACAGTTTCCAAATAGTATCTCTTTCACATTAGGCAGGGTCACATTGGATGTGGTCTACTTCCTTCTCATTTCAGAGTCTTGTGAAATGATGAAAATATTAAGGAGAGGGAGAGCAATATACTACACCAATTTTCACAAACATGTAAAAGCTGACACCAATTTTCTATCCTACGAAAACAATAACTGAGCCTGGAATAGCAAGAATATAAAACTTCATTTTATTTGCATAAAGAAACTCTCTTATTGTACAGTAAAATTTATGCGAGACCAATTGTTGGAGTAACCACAATCTTAGACATCTGATAAAACCCCACACTGAAGAAATAGACATCAAACTCAATGTTGAAAATTAAAGTTAATTATGAAAAATAGAATCTGACGATCTTTTCTGTAGGTAGGAATACTGACGAAATATCTCACCTATTGTACTTCAAACTTACATTAGCAAGACCAGTAGAAAGAGCCATAACAAAACCAAGAGTAAATAACGTAGATAAGCGGGTCGATTTTGGGGGACATGCAGGGAGGATAGACAGAGCATTTAGAACAGCCATCAATAACCAGCTAACGATATAGTGGATAAAAGTGAGAAATATAGGAAACTGGAACCCAACAACTTTGAGCACCTGAGGAAATACAAGCTGGGTAAGTTATCAGCTGGAAAACTGCTATTTTAAAATCCAGTCTGGAAAAATATGGGTAGAATAAATAAATATATAGAGAGTTCAGCGTACGAACCAATTTGTTCACGAAAATTATACCAACACCAATTACAAAATTGAATGTAAGAGCAGTAGCAGGGCCACATAGTTGTTGTTGTTGACACTTTGCAGCTTCGGATGAGCGAAATTCACTAAATAGGGCTGCCCGCAAGTCATCTAGAGCAAAGATAAAAGATTGTTGGAGCATAAACACAAAGAACAAGAAGAAAGAAACAGCACAGACGATTGCAAAAGGTTGGCAACCAAGTAATCCAAGTTGCCAAGAAATAGTTCTGAGAAGAAAGAAGGAAGGCTTCATCTGCTCCAAGCCATTCTGACTCATGGATCACAAAGATGGGAATCAAGTAATCTCTTAATTAGGGTTGAATATGGTTAATAAGGTGTACCTATTAAAATTATATTTGTTTCATAATTCCACATATCCTTTTTGGTCATTTTATATTAGGGTAAATCAGTAATTCAATATATATTTTTGTAATAGGGTGTACTCAGTTAATTTTAGGGTTCGTTTAGCAGCACTCAATTTTTATTATGTTTTTCCCTCTTTTTTTTTTTTTTTTTGTCGGAAAAGAAAGTTTATCCATCAAACAATGTGACCTGGGTTTAAAGAATGTAATTTACAGCAAAATTAAGAGTTTTTTTTTTTAATTAAATAGAAGCTATAGTCTAAATTAAAAGGGGAGGGGTTTCTCGTACTCAACTATCAAGGTGACATGAGGATTCGAACCTGAGACCATTGGTTTGTAAGTTAAAACCCCTTTTTACAAGGCTAGAGCCCATTAGCTAATTAAGTGCTTTTTGATAATGTAGTTTGAGTCAAACAAAAAACAAAATTGTTAGTTTGAGCAGCGTATATATGAGTCAAGAATTCTATAGTGAGGGCCTTATATATGGCTCTTAGATGAGGCCCTATCTGTTTGTTGGATCAAATTGGTTAGTTTAATCTAACGTGTTAGTATGAAATTGTGTTGGTATTTCCTAGAACTCAGTATTGATTTGGAAGTGTCATTTAGCTGTAGGGTTGAAGCAAAATTGTTGTCTCTGATTTCCAGAAACTGCAGGATTGAAACAGCTTAGCAATCCTTGAATTCCAGAATTGTGACTTAACATGTATGAGCCATTTGATATGAAGGGAAATACATGTCATTTTTCATGCACTCATAATAGGAACGTTTTTTGGAATATAATATGATTTTATTTCACTTATTCTTTCTTTATCCATGATTTGTTACTTATCTTTTAAAGTAATTTACTTGCAAATCAAGTTTTAATTAGATCACATTGTTAAAGGTGTTGAGATATTCTTGGTAGTTGATCTAAGAATATTAGGACTCCTTTAATCGTGGGATTATCATAAATTTCCTTTATTGAATTTTTTACTTTCCCATTATTGTGGGCTTCACGTGCGATCATCATTAGAATAGCACAAGCAAGAGACAATGAGAAATACAGATACAGAAAGCAAGACAGATTGATGAGGTCATCAAAGACGAACCTGTTACCGAGCCATATAATAATACATGGAAAGTTGATACGCAAATCAGGTAAGATACATCTCAATGAATCTCAGCCATCCATATCTAATATATCGGCAGCAAAAAGATCCTTATTTAAGGATCTTATTAGA